GGAAGAAAATGAAACCATTGCAATTCTTTCGACTCCGATTCTTTCGAGGTTATGACTCCGATTACAACTCTGATTTTTAGTTTCTACCCGGTCGAAAGCGCTCTCACGACTCTGATTACGACTCCGACTCCGGCTCAGTCGCCATTAAAAACCAGCCTTTAGCATAAGTCTAATGACCATCAGTTGGCAACCATTGAAAAAAAAAGGTATCCCTTATCCTCAACTAAATGTACGAAAAGAAAGCTGTTATAATCAATTTTCTTACCATTCAAAGTGCCAGATTCCACACTCCCTTCGGTAGCTAACGGCATGAGGTCCCTAACTTCAGTAGCCGATGACACTAAATCAACGTCTTGTGAAGCTGATAGCGCGACAACAATCCTTAGGTGAGATAATGAAAAGACACCACTTCCTTCTGCAGTTGATGGTGTGACAAGCCCCTCTCTTTCTTTTGCAACTGGTAGTGTGACATCACTTACGTTCTCAGCTGATGGCGTGATGCTACTTCTCTCCACAGCTGATGGTGTGATGTTACTTTCTCCCGAAGCAGACTGGGTAACATTTTCTTTAGCAGCTACTAGCATGACATCCCTTACGTTCTCAGCTGATGGCGTGATGCTACTTCTCTCCTCAGCTGATGGCGTGATGTTACTTTCTCCCGAAGCTGACTGGGTAACATTTTCTTTAGCAGCTACTAGCATGATATCACTTCTCTCCTCGGCTGATGGTGTGATGCTACTTTCTCCCGAAGCTAGGGAATAGAGGAATGGCGTGATCATACATGTCAGCGAAACATATGAAACGGAGAGCACGTTTTTGGAGGATCAAAAGCTTATTTAATTTACTTTTGCCAGCTTGTCCCCATGCAATTAAACCGTAATGTAAATAAGGAACAACAAGGCAGTTGTATATACTAAGGTATATACTAAGAAGAGTATGGAAAGGAACAAAATGCCTTATCTTATACAGTAATCCAATGGTTTTGCTAAGTTTCGATATTATAGAGTCAATATGGTTTTTCCGTGACAGTTTATAATCAATTAGGACACCGAGATATTTCACATGGTCTTTACATTCCAGGTGAGTTATTGTATTTGTTTGGCTATCGTTAATGTCTATTGTAGGAAGAAAAGGAAGGCGTTTTTGGTAAGGGCGAAAAATGACGAAATTAGTTTTTTAGAGATAAAGGGTTAATTTGTTAGATACAAGCCACTGGTACACATTATTTAGTTCGACATTCATTTCTTTTTCAAGAGTTTTGAGGTCTTTGTGGCTATAAATAATATTTGCATCATCATCAAATAAATAAAATTTCAATTTCTTTGAGCTGCACCAAATGTCGTTAACATAAAGGAGAAAGAGAAATGGTCCTAAAACTGAACCTTGAGGAACTCCACAAGTAATAATTGACTTATTAGACGACCTATTTCCAACTACCGTCACTTGCTTTCTCTCGTGTAGTTAAGGCTAGTTTTCAGTTACGACTGAGTAGTGAAAATCAAACCGACAGAATAAGAAGAAAAATACCGTTCCCGCCTTTGACTTTATCACCTACGATCCCGTGAAAACTGAATTGACGGAGTGGTAAGAGGAAGACTTTACCTGAAGGACCTGAGAATTGACATTGTTACTTGTCGTTTCTGCTTGCGACTCCGAAAATCTAGTTTTTAGTGGTTCATAAGTGTCAGAGTCATAAGCTAAGTTGGAAGAAAATGAAACCGTTGTGATTCTTTTGGCTCCGACTCTTTCGAGGTTATGACTCCGTTTACGACTCTGATTTTCAGTTTTTATCCGGTCGAAAGCGCTCTCACGACTCTGATTACGACTCCGAGGTGGACATGGGCGAGTAAAGACAAAGTTTAGACAAGGAGCATAGAACGAGTGAAGGGCATCAACATCTGAAGCTCATTGAGGGACCGAACGAAGGACGAGTAGGTCTCTTCGGCGAGTCGCTACGTGCACACACCCTCGAAAACATGTAGCAAGGAGAAACCGTTACGACAATCCGCCGTATGCGACCTGGGGAGCATTTCTGAACATCCTTGTCTATGCCACAGTTTCGTTGGTGCTATCATTCGCATGAAATCAAAATGATCTCAATCCGCGAGACTAGTCGCAGTGATACAATTCTGTCGCAGAGAGCATGAATTTCACCAATTTTCCAACCTTACACGGTGGAATTCTCGTTGCCACTTCTCCCTGCAATGTGTCGCTACTTGGCTTACAAACTGGACACACGGAGCGGCCTGACGCACATACCAGTCGTTTTGTTAATCGACTACTTGAGGTTACCAGGCAAAGAGGAAGCAACATAGGAAAATCAGATTGGGCTGCAAGGATTTTGAATTTGGCACTTAGAGCATGGAAGGAAATGGTTAAGGGAAATCTATGGAAATCTTACCACAAAACAACGCCCTCTTCATGAATCGATTTTCGATTTTCTCTCGGACAAAAAAAGGATGACGTGTTAACTCGTTATGAAGTTAACTCGCACTAACTCGAGACCAAAAGATGCAGGGAGCACTCCCACTTACAAAGTGGCCATTAAGTGAGTACACTGAATAATTCAAAGAGAGAGGGCCGATGAGAGCGCATTCGAACTTCTCGCTGTTAAGGCTAGTTTTCAGTTACGACAGAGTCGTGAAAATCAAACAGAATAAGGAAAATACCGTTGCCGCCTTTGACTTTATCGCCTACGATCCCGTGAAAACTGAATTGATGGAGTGGTAAGAGGAAGACTGTACCTGGAGAACCTGAGAATTGGCATTGTTACTGGTTGGTT